CCCATATCTGGTAGAATTCTGATTCTTCTTTTCCCTGGATTTCTTTAGTTAGTTTGTCCATTTCAGCACAATCCATAACAGAAAGAAAGATTAGTCTTATGACCACATCAAAAGATAAGAATTAAAAAAATCAGAAAGAAGAAAATACAATGCAGGTAGTCCTCGATTTACGACCACAACTGAGTCCAAAATTTCTGTTGCTAAGCAACACTATGGTTAAGTGAATTTTGTCCTATTTTATAACTTATCTTTCCACAGTTATTAAATGAATCACTGCAGTTGTTAAGTGAAACTGGCTTCTCCACTAACTTTGCTTGAAGTTTGCCAAAGGTTTGCCACATGAGCCCAGGAACACCCCAGCCGTCATAAATATGAGTCAATTGCCAAGATCTGAATTTTGACCACGTGACCATGGGGATACTGCAACAGTCCTAAGTGTGAAAAAACACCTTTTTCAGTGCCATTATAATTTTCGAACAGTCACTAAACAAACTTATAAATTGAGGATTACCTCTATGAGCAATAGATTTGATGGCCGAGGCACCTTCCACATGTCCTTTCGAGATGTGGCAGGTGATCCCATGGCCCATATTTGGCCATGGAATCCAACAACTCAAATCTTTCTCTGGAAATGGGCAGAGAATTCTGTCAAACTCATTGATGAATATTTTTCAAACTGGAAAATAATTTTGTTCCTAGCCAACTGATTTCACATTTTTGCTGCCAGTTTGGACGTCAATATCTAGGACTCTAAATTCCCCTTGCCTGAGAGATATAAGCCAACAGTGTGCAGTGTGCAGCAGCAGCCAAGGGCCAATTCAATCCTAGGCTGCATTAATAGATGCATAGAATCAAGATCACGTGAAGTATTAGTACCGTTTTACAAAGCCTTAGTATGGCCACACTTGGAATATTGCTTCCAGTTTTGGTCACCGCAATATTAAAAAGATGTTGAGACTCCGGAAAGAGTCCAGAAAAGAGCAACAAAGATGATTAGGGGTTTGGAGACTAAGATATATGAAGAACGGTTGCAGGAATTGGGTATGTCTAGTTTAATGAAAAGAAGGACTAGGAGTGACANGACAACCATGACCTGGATGATTGAGAATCTCCATAGACAGATTATCTTTTTGCTATGTGTAAATTGGCCGCATGGCTCCCAATGCCAAAAATGATCACAGAATCTTCAGACTGAATTGAGATGTCTATTTGCAGCCATAATTTCATTGTCTTTGGTAAAGCAAAGATTTTTTTACTCCCTTTATCTGATGTTGGTTTTCCTCCAATAAAAGCTATCAAACCCCAGGATTAAGTTTCTCACATTTTTCTATCTGTACCTTCTGTAGGTTGGCGTGATTAGCTGGGGTGTGGTTGATGTCTGCGGTCACCAAGGTACAACATGTGAGGAACCCAACAAACGGAAGGATCGTACCTCCTATTCCAGGGATTTTCACATCAACCTCTTCAAAGTTATTCCATGGCTCAAAGAACAGCTGGCTGATGAGGGATTGGAGTTCATCTAGAGAAGTTCTCTTCCCAGCCCGTTCGGATGCTCTGTGTAAATAGAAATCGTTCCCAGTAAAGTCTGTGTTAACAATGGCTCTCCAATGTAACTGTATAGACAAAACAATAAATGTGATATGTGTTGTCTTTTGCTTATCTCCTATGTTGGAATGATTGGGTTTAGTATCTAAGCAGAAGCATTTGCAAGAAAAATCAAGAAGGTGACTGTTGGGGACCCTGAGCCCCCTATAGGTAGTAATAGTAGTTTATTAACTTATAGCTGATAACCTGGTATTACCTGGATATTTATAGACGTCGAAGCATTTGTCTGACAGGGAACCATTGAGAGGGGCCTTTCTTCCCCCTACTTCCATGCCCATCCCCCATGCTCTCTCCCTTCCCACTCTAGGATGCTGCACTCGCTCTCCTTAATGACCCAGGCATTCCAGAGTTATGCTGCAACACACACACAGACACATACACCAGGGTGCCTCTCCACCCCACCCCGCCCCCAGTATTTGTTTCCAGAGGGTAAGTCATCTGTGTACTAGTTTGGTTGAAAATGCTCGAGGCATTCCAGAGTTATGCCGGAACATATATACATACATCCATTTATATAGAGATAGGATGATAAGGATAAGGATAAGGATAAGGATAAGGATAAGGATAAGGATAAGGATAAGGATAAGGATAAGGATAAGG